AGTACCAGAGAAATTTGAACAGTATTTAGATCAAATAAGGAACATGGAGTGTATCGTGCAAAGATAATGGAACTGAATATACTGTATGGTCTTCAACCAGTAAGTGGCAATGTTTATAGGTTTGCAGTTGCATCTATGGTTGTACTCTATGTCTTTTCTATAAAATAAAGTTTCTGTTTCCTGTTATCAGAGAAGCAACAGATAAACACATGTGGTCTGTGCACTGTCTGTTCTGTAGGGCTATATACAGAGTCTCTAATAATATACTGTAACAGTGTCCAGGCCCCACAATGCCATTCTTCCAGTAGGCTGAAGAGGTATGCTGCTCGAGTACGTCTGCTAGAATGAATGGTAAATAAGGGTAACTTGGGAACCTGTGTTAAATATGTCCATTGACAGTGACTTTAACTATAGATTTAGAGGCTATGAGAGGTCCTCTTGGGTTTTTCTCTAACTTCATTAACTTCTTAGAATTCTGTTAGATAACATAATTTTGAGGAGCTGAGTAAGAAGATGATTAGGTAACAAGCCTGTTACACACTGACTTGTCCTCAGAGTCCACTGCAAAAGGAGGTATAGCTGTGTGATACAGTAAACATGACAAGAATAACTGTTATCAATTAATAAAATGGAAACATCTCCCCCTTTTGTCTGACAAGATGTATGGTAGTCAGCAGCCATCTGTTCGTGATCATAGTATGGCTCAATGTGATCAGACAGTACATGTATGTAGTTCATTGCATTTACTCCTTCATGAGTGTCTCAATACATGTGGATTTATTCCACAACTGGCGACCACAGGCTTTCAGTGACACACTGTCCCTTGCCTTCTTCTGAATGGGATAATTCCCTTAAACACTCCACTTCCTCAAACTAAATCTTTCCAAAACTGAGCTCCTAGTTTTCCCCCTAGCCCGCGCCCCCCCCCCCCCCCCCCCTTCTCCATCAAGACCAACAACACCACCATCAGTCCCTCTCCTCACGCCAGAGTACTAGGTGTCATCCTAGACTCCAATCTGTCCTTCCAGGCCCAGGTTAATTCGCTGACAAACTCATGTAGACTTCACCTCCGCAATATCTCCAAAATACATCCGTTCCTAACCCCAGAAACCACTAAGCAACTCATTCACTTCCTCATTATATCACGCCTCGACTACTGTAACTCCCTCCTCATCGGCTTACCTCACCGCAGGCTATCCCCGCTTCATTCTATCTTGAATGCTGCGGCCAGACTCATCCACCTTACTAACCGCTCTGTTTCCGCCACCACTCTCTGCCAATCCCTCCACTAGCTCCCGATTGCCCAACGGATAAAATTCAAAATGCTAACACTGACGTATAAAGCTGTTCATAATATTGCCCCAAACTACATCACCGATCTGGTATCCAAATACCACCCAAAACGTACTCTCCACTCCTCACAAGACCTCCTACTCTCTAGTTCCCTGGTCTCCTCCTCCCATGGCCGTCTCCAGGACTTCTCCAGGACTTCCCCCATCCTCTGGAACTCCCTACCCCAATCCATCAGACTTTCACCTACTCTCCTCACCTTTAGGCGCATTCTGAAAACCTATCTCTTCAGGAAAGCCTACCCCGCCCTCAGCTAATTACTGAACTCCCTCCACTCTTCCTACCACTCCATCCCCCACAGCTATTTCCTCCTGTACCACTATCCCCTCCCTCCTAGATTGTAAGCTCCAAGGAGCAGGGCCCTCGAACCCCTCGTGTATTGAATCGTATTGTTACTGTACTGTCTCCTGTACTGTCCCCCATTATAATGTTATAATGTACAGCACTGAGCAAACTGTTGGCGCTTATAAATCCTGTATAATAATAAAATAATAATAATAAATATTGGAGAGCATGCTCTTCCCAAACTTCAAAGCCTTCCTCTCCTTGTGACACAGGAACATTACCAGAAAACACGTTTAACATCCTATAATGTGTTGCCTGTAAACACTCCTAACATTTCAGTTAGTTTGGCTAAAGTACCACTTGCACTGCCACTAGCGTGTCCACTATGAGTATCCATTCTGTGAGAATAGGTAGCTGATACGGGTTCTATTTTACATTAAAGTGGTTGGAACGGCTGAAGGTTTTTTACCTTTATGCATTCGATGGATGAAGATAAAAAAAACTTCAGTGTGCAGCACTGACTGGCAGCACTGATAGGTGGCACTGACTGGCAGCACTTATTGGCACAGATTGGCAGGACTGATGGGCACAGATTGGCAGCATTGATGGGCACTTTTGGAGCTGCATTGATAATCAGGGCACTTATAATCAGTGCCGTGATTATCAGTGCAGATGTCTCCATTCACACTTGTAGGTTATCGGCAGTACTTTCTTCACGCTGTGACAGTGTGAGGAAAGTACTTCTAATATCCAGCAAGTATGTTTACATCGTGATCAGTTGTGATTGGACACAGATTATTACGTGGTAAAAGGCCACTGTCATTGGCCCTTTACCACGACATGTGATCAGCTGTGTCAAAGGGACACAGCGAACACAGAGAGCAGCGGGTGCGTGCTGCTGGGGGCACGTGGAGGGGGGATTGTTCTGGGAAGATGTCATATGATGCCCTCCCAGAACTGGACAACCGCGCTGTAGTAGCCGTCATTCAGCTATAGCATGGTTAACAAGTGGTTAAAGCACAGTGGTGAGCTTTGTTTATTGTTTTGGACTGTATTATATGATTAAATTCGAGGACTTTAATTTCACACAAAACTATTTTTTTAACTATGTTTGTTTGCAACATATGATTGTATGTGGAAATTGTCACTATTTACTAGTTGGATTCTTTTTAACCTCCTTAGCGGTATTCCCAAGTGTAGCTCGGGGTAAAATTTGAGTACCAAAAGCGGTAACCCTGAGCTACACGCGGCGTTGCTCAGGGAGTCCCTGCAGCACTTACCTTGTCCTTCGCTCCCACGATGTGTCCCTTGCAGCGTCCCCGGCCATCTCCTCCTGCCGATGCCGGCATCCGGCTTCCACGTTCCGGTCCCTGTGACGTCAGGACGTACGGGCGCCGGAACCAGCGGCAAATTTGAAATTTTTCAAAAATTTCATTTTTTTTTAAAATGACTATTACATAGTAAAACATTGCTGTTTCAATGCATTTCACATACATTTTGTCCCTAATGCTTTGTCCTGTGCCCTGCCTGCATTTTGACTGTTCTTTCTGCCTGGAAACTTAGAAAAGTCCATGGCGTCCAAAAAGCGTCCCTTTACGTCAAAAGCGGTTTTAGACCAGCTAGAGAACAGCGATAGTAAATCAGAAGCACTTGCAGAATTGAGCGATAATGATTCGTGGGGAAATTCGTCATCAGACACTGAAAACGATTTTGCGACTTTGCTCAGCAATGTGCGAATTTGCCTCTGTATTTCAAATTTCAGTGTTTTTGGTTTGATTATATTATTGAATTAAATTTATTATTACTATATTATTATTTTTTATGATTATTTATTAAATTATAATTTATGATTTCGTGTTTCAAATTTTATCCTACCTGGGATGTTTACTAGACTCTTGTTCGTACAGATTTCAGTGAGTTATTCCTAAAAATTACAGCCTACAATAAAAAACTACATATTTCCATGCAAAAAAATGGTACCGCTTTCAGCACAAAAAATCGGAAATAATCAGACCGCCGAGGAGGTTAAAGGTTGCACTGCACTATATTTTGATTATTTTGGTCATTGCCGATTACACACACCATTTTATAATAGCATGAGCCATTTTAGATGTGATGTCCATTTTGAGTAAAACTTAGATAGTAAGTTCTCACACCTTCTTGTCTTGAACTGTATTGTAACTGTACTGTTTCCTTTAATTTTTGAAAGCACTGCACAAACTGTTGGCCCTACATAAATCCAGTTTAAGAATGATAATGTAGAATTCGGTAAACAAGTCTGGAAGGGAAGCAGGCAGAAGTTGGAAAGGTATATCAAGTGTGTGAAGGAGGTATCTTGCAGGCCTCATCTAAACTCAAGATTTCTCTGCTAACCCACAGTTGTTAACAGGGAGGTGTCATCTTCATCTTTGGGTCTTCATGCTACTTTAGCTAGGGAGGGGGTATGGTCTCCCACTTCTTAAAGGTGGGACCTCCAAGAAGAATTTAAACGTAGCCTTATGTCTAGAATTGTATTGTAACTGTACTTTTTAATTTTTATAGAGCTGCACAAACTATTCGGCACTATATGAATCCAATGTAAGAATGATCATGTAGAACTTGGTTAACAAATCTTTAAGGGAAGAAGACGGATGTTGTCTGGGGACATGTTAGAAAGGTGTATCCAGTGTGTGAATGAGGTATCTTGTAATTTACCAGTTCTTAGATATAGTGAATGCATAAGTTTTCTTTTTTTTAGTCTTTTTCCTTTATGATCCAGCCAGTAAGTCTATTATTTTTAAAACGGTATTAACCACTAGCCTACAGGGCACTTATACCCCCTGCCTGACCAGGCCAATTTCCAGCTTTCAGCGCTCTCACACTTTGAATGACAATTGCGCAGTCATGCAACACTGTACCCATATGAAATTTTTATCATTTTTTTTGTGACAGATAGAGCTTTATTTTGGTGGTATTTAATCACCTCTGGGTTTTTTTTTTTCTTAAACAAACCAAAAACCACTGAAAATTTTGAAAAAAAAGTTTTTTCTTAGTTTTTGTTATAAAATTTTGTAAATAAGTGATTTTTCTCCTTCACTGATGTGCGCTAATGAGGCTGTAGTGATGGACACTGATAGGCTGCACTGATGGACACTGAGGGGCACTGATGAGGAGGCACTGGTAGGGGCACTGATGAGCATTGACAGGCATCACTGATGGGCACTGAAAGGCAACACTGATATATGGCACTGATAGGTGGCACTGATAGGCGGCACTGACTGGCACTGATAGGCGCACTGATAGGCGGCACTGACTGGCACTGTTAGGTGGCACTGACTGGCACTGTTAGGCGGCACTGACTGGCACTGATAGGCGGCACTGACTGGCACTGATAGGCGGCACTGATAGGCGGCACTGACTGGCACTGTTAGGTGGCACTGACTGGCACTGTTAGGCGGCACTGACTGGCACTGATAGGCGGCACTGATAGGTGGCACTGACTGGCACTGATAGGTGGCACTGATTGGCAGCACTGATAGGTGGCACTGATTTTCCTTGATAGGTGGCACTGGCTGGCACTGATGGGTGACACTGTAAGGCAGCTCAGATGGGCATTGATATGTGGCATTGATGTGCACTGGTAGGCACTGGCAGGTGGCATGGATGAGCACTGAGAGCTGGCACTGATGGACACTGACAGGTGGCACTGCTGGGGCTACACTGATCATCAGGGCACACTGATCATCAGTGCCCTGATGATCAGTGCACATGTCCCCTCTGAGGAATGCCGATTACCGGCTCTCCTCTCCTCTCGAGCTGTCAACGTGACAGCTCGTGAGGAGAGAAATGCCGATAACCGCCATTTCCCTGTTTACATGCAATCGGCTGTGATTGGACACAGCTGATCACATGACCGAGCCGACTTCTTCGTCTCCTTCCATATATTGGTGATCCGCTGTGTCCGAGGGACACAGCGCACCACCGATCGCCGCGCTGCGTGCTCCCGGAGCCGTGCATGCGTGGTGAGAATGGGAGGACGTCATATGACATCCTCCAGAACGAGAGAACCGCCTTGCGTCCGTCATTGTACTATATGGTGGGCAGGAGGCGGTTAAACCCAAAAGCTAAATGTTTTCCTATATTGCAACTTAACAATTCTTAGATGTGATGGCTGCATTGGTTTAATTTTTTTAGGCTTTATTTATTCTATTTTCCAGTCAGCAAATCTGTTGTTTTTCACAAGAACAAGCTCTTTTCTAGATAAATCTGATACAGAAATGAGACAAACCATTTTCTACTGCCAGGGGTGCTTACAATGAACAGCTTTTATCTATGTAAAACCTTTATCCCAAAAGGAAAAAAAACTGTTTGCTGTGATGGCTGATAAAGTGCTAGCTGGGATTTGGCTTCAGTTTGTTAGTGTATCTAAATCTGCTAGTAAATATAACATTCCCCTCCCCCTAGACTGACAGTGTTGTTGTCCAAATGTGCCCCCTGTGCCCCTTCATCCAAAGTGGGGACACTCTAATGCAGGAGGTGTGTTACTAGATACTAGACAGATCGCCGGGTGAAAACCGAGGGAACAGGCCGTAGAAAAAAGAAAACAAATTCAGTCACCACATCTATTGATTGGTAAGCTGCAATATATTACATTTTTGGTTTTGGGTTTAATACTGCTTTAAGTTTTCTTTAAAGTGGTTGTAAGGCCTTACATATATCCAGTGACTGGTCTCAGATGATACACAGAGATGAAACAAACCCTCCCACATAAGTTGTACCTGTTATCTGAAGTCTTATCTACAGCCATGCACAGCCCAGAATTTATAAAGATTGTCTGAGCTGTCTGAAATATAAGGGGTGGAGAACTGAAATTACACACTGCAGAGTTCACTGAGGAGAGCTCTGAGGGTTGATTAAAGTGAAGGGACCCCCCTTTCACACAGCTCATGGGAGCAGAGCTGAGGCTGCCAATCTGCTGGAGATCTCTCCTCTGTCAGTTTTTCTCTTGGTGTCAGGAAAGCTTGTTAGACAGACGTGATTCATGCAGATAGCAGATGAATGAAGCAGCAGAGAGAAATGACACTTAGTGCTCTGGACTGAGACAAGTACACACTATAGAGGGATATACTTTGTTCATTTTTCATGTCTGAGGTTTACAACCACTTTAAAGATGAAGTTTATGCATGGCAGTTTTTACATAGCTATATTGGTCCAGCTTGGACCAATGTAAGTATGTATGTGCTATATCTGTGGGATCCCTGTGGAAGCTGAAATCACTGTAGTAAGTACCTTTACAAGCAAACAAAGAAATTCCCAGCAACACTTACCAGCCAGCTTGCAAAACAACCAATTTGACCCCGTCTAACAGTTTGCATTAAAAACAGAGGGGTTTGTTTGCACACTTTTGCAAATACATGCGTAAGCCGTGTCAAGGGTCCCCTGTATAAAATTTACAAAGCCTCCATAGTAGGAACACAGGCATCAATGGATATATTAAGGGCAGGTGTGCCTGGAGGAGCCCATCCTTCCTTAAAGGTACAGGGATGCATGAAACACCCAACCCAAAATGACAGCAAAGGCACCCAGTGCATCCCAAGTTAGCCAACTACACAAAAAATGGCAACCGTCCCAACCTGTAACCAGCCAAAGCAGTAAGGTGCACATGGAGGGGCAATGCACATCGCAAACAAACAAAGCATTTCCCAGCAACACTTACCAGCCAGCCAGTAGGCACCTTTACTAGAGTGATCTCCCCTAGCTTCCAGATCCCGCTGGCTTGCTGCTTCCCGAACACAGGAGGTCACCCACTCATCGCGACTGCCATTCACATATAACTTTTCACTTTCTCAATGAATGCAAATTGTTCTTGATTGGATGAGGTAGAGATTATGAAGTCATTACACCGTCTTGTCCAGACAGAGAATGCTTTTCATACATTGTTAAAATGAAAGGTTTTCCCTAAATGGCGCCCATCCTGAGAAAACGACCTCCTGTGTTCACAATGCAGCAGGGCGGGCCCTCAGCACGAGATCCAGAAGCTTGGAAAGATCATTGTAGTGGTGGTGCATACTGCAGTGATTTCCAGCTTCCACGAGGATTTAACAGGTATGGCACATACAGTACATACATTGGTCCAAGCTGGACCAATGTAACTATATAAAAATTGCAACCCTTATGAAAAATCATGAAGTGTCCCTCCAAGCACCAGCCTGCACCAGATGACTCCACAGCACTGACGGGTGCCGGCATCCAGTAGACGCTCATCCCGGTTCACCATGAAGTGTTTAGTGTCAAAGATAGGATTCTGCACACCAAAACAGATCAGTCTAAGTGTAAATGAATGGCTTCAGCCCATCTCCCACAGGCCACTCTCCCTAACGCCTTTCACTCTCCCACAGGGCTTAATCATAGAGGTGCACCTCTACAATTAAGCCTTATGGGAGGGTGAAATGCGTTGGTGGGGATGTCGAAGGAGGCGACGGGCTCTAGCTGTTCCCTTATGCTTAGACTGGAATTTTTTTTTTACAGCATTGAAGCTTTGACGCTAGGCACTTTATGTAAAAATTGTGATACCTGGAATTCAGCTCTAAAAACTGTGTTTCAAGAGATCAGCTGTATTATGTACTCTATGCTTTAGCAATAATAGGTGTGATAATTGTTTAATGCATGCTTCTGACACTTTAGCATTTGTGTGCTTTATATTTTAGCTCATGTAGTAGGTGTCTGTTGAAGACAGATCAAGTGCAGAGTACATATTAATGGGATAAGTGCTTACTGAAATCATAAATTCCTCTGGGGCGGGAACTGATATGAATGGCTCAGTATACTCTGGAAAGCAAACCATCTATGTATTGTGCTGTACAGTATTTATTGGAGAAATAAACATTTAAAAAAAATCAAAGGTCTTAATATCACCATTTACAAATACAGTATATCAAAATTATATCTGAAAATAAAACCAGAGCAATTCTTGCCCACCCTCCCGTACACTAATACAAAATATAGTTTGCTACCAGAAAAGCGGCGTGTACAATGTAAATAAGCCCTGATGTTTTTCACACCTTGCAGGATAAATTATTGATATCAATATATGGCTTACAGAACAGTCCCAAATGTTTTCAGAACTCCAGCACAGTGCAGAAACTTTTAGATCTATAGTGCTGAATGCTACAAATTGTTTGGAATTACAATTCATTTTTTCTTGCAAATGTCTCCAAGTATAACTGAGTCCACGTCTCTAGGCTCGTCACAGGATGAATGGGTTTTGAAATCAAACTTTATGTTCACGCTAACATGCATTAAATTCCCTTTCTGGGGTATTTTAATGTTATTCAACGACTTCTCACTCTAGGAAATGTATGTATTTATAATAGTGCTTGCAGCAAAAAGAGAAAAAAAACTGCACACAATGGATAAAATCAATGCCACCTCTCTTTATTTGTAACAAAACAACTGCAAAGAAAATATGTTCTGGGAAGTAATAGGAAAACACAGAAAACTTGTATTAAAATGTTCTTTAATAAATATCATTTTTAACACTTTAAATTACCTAGTACCAGAGCCGGGCCAATTCTGACTTTCCTCTCTTACATGTAAAAATGTGCACTTTTTTCCTAGAAAACTACTTATAACCCCATATATATATATACATATACATATACATATATTTGTAATTTTTTTTTTGTTTAAGCAGAGGCCCTAGAGAATAAAATGGTGGGTGTTACATATTTTTAAGTCACACAATATTTGCGCAGTGTTCCAAAATTTCTGGAAAAAATAATGTTTCATGAAATTTAATGTGTAAAATCACAATATAATACCCAAATATTGGTAAAATTTAAAAGATGATGTTGTGCTTAGTAAATAGATACCAAACATGTCACGCTTTAAAATTGTGTAGGCCCATGGAAAGGCACCAAGGCTACAGTACCTAAAAACCTTCATACTTTAACAAATAAAGTGCTGCACAATCTACAATCCACTATGTGTAATTTAAATGCCTTATATACCAAATTAAAACAGTAGCAAGTGATAAATGAAGGTGCTATATATGAATTGTGCATAGCAATACATAACATTCATAATACCATGCATGTACCTGCAAAATATCGATCTACAAATCAATCAAAGTTCATCTATGATTATAGACAATAATCATAGATGTGCCTCAGAAAGGGGATGTGGGCGGGAAATATGAAACCCAGCAGCTGGAAACTACTGTACATTAATGATGAAAGATGCAGACTGCCTGAGCCTCCATTCTGGGGTAAGTGGGCAAACCATCCACTTTCACTGAGGTCTTCCCCCTCCCTTCCCTCCCTCTCCTGCCTCTGGGTACACTAAAGTAAGGGGTACTCAGATGTAAGGGGTGCTCTGCGGACTCTAATGTATGTGCGGCTTTAGTGAACAGAGACCCCCTTACACCAGAGTTCCCTTTGACACCAGAGTCCACTACGCTCAAACTTACATCAGAGACCCCCCCCCCCCTTAAATCCGAGGTCCAAGAGCACCCTTTACATCAGAGTTCCTCTTTACATTAGAGTCCACAGAGCTCCCCTTTACAATGTAAGTGGAAATTCTGTGGACTCAGATGTAAGGGGGAACTCTGTGGACTCTTATGTAAAGGGGGGCTCTGGGAACCCTGATTAAAGAGGAATGCTGGGAATTCTGATATAAGTTGGGGCTTTGGTTACTGGAGACCCCCTTATATAAGATTTCTCCTTTGCACCAGAGTCTGCAGTGCTCACCTTACATCAGAGTCCCCCCCCCCTTTACATCATATTTCTCACTGTTCCTCAATAAATCAGAGTACATGGTACAGCAGGCACATATCAGAAATATGAAATGTTGGGGGTTACATATTCTTTAACTCTTCAATAAGACACAGAAGTTGAATCCAATGCAATTT